CAGCTGTTCTGAATGTGTACATGCTATCTATGCTGTATGAAGCAATACATTCCACATTCCGACAACTGTATGATTACTCTACTTGAACGGTTCTACCATTTTATTTTTAGTACACAGATGTTCGGACATTACTTGAGGCTCTTTATATTTACCCAGTACCTGAACCATTAAGTGAAGTTACCATAACAACTGAAGTTGAAGGCATAGTAAGTCTTCTTTACACCATATTTCCGCTAATTTGGTTAACATGAGATTACCCATGCTTCAAAGACAATAAATTGTCATTCATTGGTTGTTATCAATTATTATATTCAACCAGAGATGGATTTATTTTGTTCTAGGAAGGATTTTATTTTGATTCAGGATTATGTTTATACGTGTATTAATCCATAAGTTGTTTTATTATTAGGGACACATACATGTATAATTATCAACAATAACAGCGTACAACAACACCATTATTTCATTGTATCGTTTGAGAGATTGGCTCTTGCCAACCAGTTGCAAAATGTAAAATAGTGCGACTGCTTATATTTCTATGTTAAACAGGGGTAGGTTTATGTTAAATAATGTTCAGTTTACGTTAAACCGAGGGGGGGGGGGTAATTTATGTTAAACAGGGGTCAGTTTATGTTAAACGAGGGCTCAACTTTTGTTAAACAGGGGACAATTCATGTTAAACGAGGGGTCAGTTTATGTTAAACGAGGGGTCAATTTTTGTTAAACAGGGGACAATTTATGTTAAACGAAGGGTCAGTTTTTGTTAAACGAGGGCTCAATTTTTGTTAAAAAGCGGACAATTTATGTTAAACGAAGGGTCAGTTTTTGTTAAATGAGGGCCCAATTTTTGTTGAACAGGGGACAGTATATGTTAAACGAGGGGTAGGTTTATGTTAAACGGGAGGTCAATTTATGTTAAACAAGGGGTCAGTTTATGTTAAACAAGGGGTCAGTTTATGTTAAATGAAGGGTTGGTTTATGTTAAACAAGGGGTCAGTTTATGTTAAATGAAGGGTTGGTTTATGTTGAACGGGAGGTCAATTTATGTTAAACGAGAGGTCAGTTTATGTTAAACGAGGGGTTTGGTTTATGTTAAACGGGAGGTCAATTTATGTTAAACGAGGGGTTTGGTTTATGTTAAACGAGGGGTTTGGTTTATGTTAAACGGGAGGTCAATTTATGTTAAACGAGGGGTTTGGTTTAAGTTAAACGAGGGGTTTGGTTTATGTTAAACGGGAGGTCAATTTATGTTACAAGAGGGGTCAGTTTATGTTAAACAAGGGGTCGGTTTATGTTAAACGAGGAGCCAGGTTATGTTAAACGAGGGGTTTGGTTTATGTTAAACAAGGGGTTGGTTTATGTTAAACAAGGGGTCGGTTTATGTTAAACAAGGGGTCAGGTTATGTTAGACGAGGAGTCGGTTTATGTTAGACGAGGGGTTTGGTTTATGTTAAATGAGGGGTTTGGTTTATGTTAAACAAGGGGTCAGGTTATGTTAGACGAGGAGTCGGTTTATGTTAAACAAGGGGTCGGCTTATGTTAAACAAGGGGTCAGTTTATGTTAAACAAGGGGTCAGGTTATGTTAGACGAGGAGTCGGTTTATGTTAGACGAGGGGTCAGTTTATGTTAAACGAGGGTTTGGTTTATGTTAAACAAGGAGTTGGTTTATGTTGAACGAGGGGTCAGTTTTTGTTAAACAAGGGGTCAGTTTATGTTAAATCAGGAATCAGTTTTATTAATGAAAACTAGCTAAAACTATTGAACTGATGGTATGTGGGCGATTCAAAACATCTATGACTATAGACATACAAAAATAACTTACTTTTATGAATGAATGTTTCGAAAACTCAATAGAGAGCGTATCAGCCATGTTTTTTTAGCTCCGCTGTCGACTTTGTCGATCGGAGCTTATTATATGAGTGATTGTCCGTCGTCGTCCATCGTCCGTGTCAATGTTTTACTTTTTCGACTTCTTCTTGAAAACTACAAGCCTGAATGCTTTGATACTTGGTGTATATGTACCTTGGGTAGACCTCTCTTAGACTAGTTCATTTCATGATCATATCTTCAATTCTCTAATTTTGGTGAATATTTTTGTCATTTTTGGTAAAAAGTGATATTTTCGACTTCTTGTTAAAAACCGCAAGTCCAATTGCTTTGATATTACATATATAGGTACTACATGTTGATCTAACTCAGATTTGTTCATTTTGTAATGATATCTTTAGTTCTCTAATTTTAATGAATATTTTTGTCATTTTTTGTAAAAAGTGATATTTTCAACTTCTTGTTAAAAACCGCAAGTCCAATTGCTTTGATATTACATTGTAGGTACTACATGTGGACCTCTCTCAGATTTGTTCATTTTGTAATGATATCTTCAATTCTCTAAATTTGGTGAATATTTTTGTCATTTTTGGTAAAAAGTGATATTTTCAACTTCTTGTTAAAAACCGCAAGTCCAATTGCTTCGATATTACATATATAGGTACTACATGTGGACCTCTCTCAAATTTGTTCATTTTTTAATCAAGCGTTGACCTATCATGGTGTTCTTTGACCTGATAGGTCAAGAATGGCGTGAAGGAATTGTATCGGTACTTTCTGTGGAACGTTAAGTGTGAGAAATGTTTGAATGTAATTCTATTGATACGATCTGAATAAATAACAGACAAATACACTTTTGTGTGAGGATATATTAATCAGTTCGTTTTTCTACTATTTTTAAGTATCACTAGAAATGTTAAAGCGCTCGCTGTACATGCGTGAATGCTAGTTTGCCAGGAAAGCAGCTCTCTAAACAGGAAGTGCATGTTTGATCATATTGCATTGCGGGTCATCATTGTTAGTGCAGTTCTCCAAACAGGAAGTGCATGTTTGATCATATTGCATTGTGGGTTCATCATGGTTAATGCAGTTCTCCAAACAGGAAATGCATGTTTTATCACAATGTATTGTGGGTCTTTTTTGTGTCATGTGACCATGTCAGAACATCAGGTTCATCATTAAAGAATTGAAAAGGGTGGTTCCTCCATTTTTAAAAATAAAACGGCAAACAGAATTATCATTATACATATACTTGAGTAAACCGTACTGATATTGACATCAAATAAAAGTTGAGTACTTGTAAGATGTGTCACTCTGCCATTTGAAAAAAACAAGCGAGGCATATGTCTCCTGCTGTTAACCTCTAACCTCTGAATGCCAATGTCGATTTTGTCTCTTTTCATAAATTAAACCTACTTAACTTTTCCCATATTTTTAAAACTAATTTTTCTGTTATGTTCATTTGGTCAAAAACAAAAAAAAACAAAGAAAATACTTGGAAATATACGAAGTGTTGGCATTCAAGGTTATTTATTTCATAAAGCGAGAGGGTTGTCACCTGCGCACGTGCGGGAATCAAGTTTCAAGCAATGATAACAAAACAAGCTAAAAATGCAAAGGCTCATGGGTAGGTGCTTGTTTGTAAACAAAGACATGCTATGGCCATCTGACGCATGCGCAGGTGATGACTTCCCCGCTTTAAATCAAAGGAATTGTGTTCCTGGGAGCCTAAACTTTGACCTTGAAGTTGCTTTTGTTTTGTAAATCCTGATTTATTTCACCATTCATGGATTACAGTTTTGTTTGGGTTACTTGCATGTATATATTCATTTCTGTTCTTTACCCTTAGGGGTTGAACTATAAAACGAAATCACAAGAGGTAAATTTTTAATAAACTAATATTCATGTTGCTTTCACTTTGCATGTCACCACTAGGGGGCGCTACATGGGGCTTAATGGTGCATAGCTTTAATAAGACTTTGGAGCCTGCTTTGCAACTTAGATCTTGTTAAAAAAATATTTTTTAGATTTACAAAAAGGGTAAAAGCAAACCTATATAATAATGGTGGCAATGGTGCTGTCATACAGTTTTTTTTTTATTAAAAAGCTATATTCTGGGAAAAAACAGAGGGACTTTTCTGTGATTGGAAGGCACAAAAAGCTACTTAATATTTACGTAGAAATCTTGACGTTCTGTGATTCTTTAAAAAACGATTATGAAATTAGATTACATTGATAAGAAATTTAGAATAAGAAATGTAAGCGAATGGTATTGTATGTTAATTTCTTGCATACATGTATTTACAGACACTAATTATTCACTACTTATTAATACCACTAATTGCATTGATAAGTAAAATTCGCTTTACTTATTGAATTTGAATTAATTAATTAATTCCACAAAACATGTAAAACAATAAAACTCATTGTTTCCCTGCCAGGTTTGTGAACTTACAACCCAATTGCTGAAAATATCAAAATAGTGAAAATTAAATACCAGTAACAATAAATGATTTTACAGTATGAACTGAAGCAGCCATGCTAGGGATTGAGGGCGCCATACTATATAAAACACTTTCCAACTCATTTAAGTGCCATGAGCTGTGTGTAATACTGAAATGATCTTCTATTTTTTGAGTAAAAGGGAGTAAGCATCTGTAGCTGGAACATTTGACCCTGTAAGTTTCATTTGAGCACCGCTCAAAAGATGTTTCTAGAACATCAATCAGAGCTTCCACCTGAGCGAGTTGTTTCCTTTCAAGGAGTAAGAAAATGAACAAAATTGTAAAAAGAAAATCAGTTGAAGGCTCTTCATTCATTAAAACAAATCATTATTCAAACCATCAAACCCTTCTTTATTCAATCAAGCTAAGAAAATAGTTGACACTAAAGAGCGGTGATTGTCATGTCACGCTGCATTGCGCCATCTTTGATACGAGTCCCATGTGCTGGTCAAGTAGGTTGTTCGGTATACACAAAATGTCAACGTGTGCAGCATGACGACCATCGCTCTTTAAATGTGACAATACATTCTTGCTCTCTGTAGTTTGAACCTTGACCTATTACCTGGAGTGCATGGAAATTTCCATCATGCAGCAGCATATACTTCTGCAGTGTGTTAGTATTGTGTGGCTAATATTTTATTTTAAATTTAATCACATTTCAATCCTGTTGTTTACTACTTCTTCAAATCTTCACTGAATTAGATCAGTTTCTTATACAATCCAATAAAGTTTTTTATGCATGTTTTCTTGAAACTAGTGAACTTAGATTAAAGCCTAGTTTTCCATTTCTCTTCATCACATTTTCAATTTCATAAATTATATTTGTAATTATTATGTTAAAGTTTGTTGTACATGTACGTAATGTTTCTATTCGGAATCCCTGTGCTGTTTCTGAGGTGATTTAGTTTAGAAGCTCAATGTCTGATTAGTTATGAAATCTGTAGATTGCCTAGTTTAAATTAACCTGGTCAAGAATGTTACCTGGTTAGAATGGAACCAGTCTCTTTTGGTAAGAATGGAGTCTGGTCTAGTAGATGGCTTAGGGGGCGCTGTCACAGGAAAGCCAGTCTACCAGGTGAAGGCATCCACATCTGATACAGTATTCAATTACCTTAATACTAAAGTGATTAAAATTGCTACGGACTGATTCTGATGGTTATCCACCATTTTATTTTTGACGGAATCGCCCAAAAGAATAATATAATTTTCATGTGATCTGTGTGTAATCAGTGTGATTGTTGTGTAGAAGGAAATAAGTTTTTCTTTTAAAAAAAAAAATTCTTTATTCATTCATTTGACCTGCTCATGCTCCGTCATATTCACTGAAATCAAATGTGAATCTTTCCACTTTTTGTCATAACTGTAATTTGTTCTCTTTTCAGCGTTTCACGTTTACTACTCCAGATCCAATCAAGCTGCCAACCATTCCAGAGAGTGTGAGTATTAAAATAGTTACTAATACATTTATTGCCGTATTTGCGGGCACATTTTTTTTCACGCTGAAATTCAAAATAAAATTCAGTAAATATACATATATTCCTCTATTTGACATTAAACTAATAGAAAATCAGTGAAAATAAACGTCATACAAAATAGCTAAAATATCTTTTCAGCGAAAAATTAATTCTAGATAAAATCATTTTGTTTTACAGTACCTTGATATAGTGCATATTTGATTAACAGGGCCATTATTAAACTGTGCAGATAACCCCAGGTGCACACAATGTGAGAAAGTTCTGTGTTTGTTTTGCAAATGTGTATGATGATGACCACTGTGTTGTAAATGAGCATGTCTTTTTTTATGATTGCAGAGAAATCTTACAGAGTATTACAATGCCATTGATCCAACTATTATGATGACTGTATTTGCAAGGTACGATATAGTTTTTAAGCATGTCTGTTTTCCCTTCAAGCTTTTCTAGCATCAGCCTTGCTGCTTGGCTTATGGAATGTTTGTTGTTTTACTGAGAAGGAAGTTAAATAATGGCGACAAGATATCGGTAATATTCATTTCCATATTGCAAGTGGAGTTATGACTACCATTCTATGTGATGTGTTAGCCTAGTTTTTTGTTTGCTGACATTTTTCATGAAGCAATGTTCGACACAGGCTGAAAATGGTCCACAGTCACGTGTGTTCGTATTTGCGATACCGAGAATCTTGGACATCATAGATATTGTTAGAATGTTTCAGTTTTCAATCTTAATGTCATGAAATAAAGGTTATGCTTGCTAGCAACGAGTGTATGCCATGTAAATGAAAACCGTTCAAATCAAATATTGTTGAATTTGAATGACAATGCTTACACATACCTATGTCATTATGATGTCACACAGGTGCTTTGTCGTTAGACAACATGACCTTTAGGAATACTAGATGAATCTGATCTATGAAACATGACAAAAGTTGCCATGGCAATAATGAGGTAGTATTACTAGTACCAAGAATACTTTTTATATTATACAATAATTTTTTCATTTAATGTATATTTTCTAACAAATTTCTGTTGTAGTTTATTGTACGAACGAAGAATTATCGTCACATCGAAAAAACTCAGCCTGGTAAGTTGTATTATCTTTTGCTTTTGAGTCAGCCTTGAATATGAGGATCATCTAGATAATGCTTAAATGTCTGCCCTCCCCCTTTCAAATAATGCAGAACAGTTTGTCAATTCATAATAAACTTAATTACATGATGTAGTTGTGAGACAATATATTGCCATGGCAACTTTATTTTTGACCATGTATATTTGATTATGATTTATTCTACTTTGTGAGTTGGTGTGGCTTATGATTGGAAGTTCTTACATCAAATCCTGTTTTGCTTTGTATTATAACCTGGGTGAGAAGTATATTGAGATGCTGTCGGTGGGTCGTCTAATGAGACTCAAGTTACCATTGGAATCATTTGAAGAACATGATGTATACGCAATTGCTTCTTTTTCTATTTTATTTTCATTAATTTAATATAATAACTCTAAGTTTACATATTGTTTGCAGTTGACAGCGTGTATACCTGCGGCAGTGTCCCTCATGTACCCGCTAATTTGGCAGCATTTGTACATTCCAGTACTACCAAACAAATTACTCGACTACTGTGGTGCTCCCATGCCATTTTTCGTTGGTGTACATTCGTCTTTAATGACAGTAAGTGATGTTGACCTTTCTAGTGATCTTAACTGTCACTGTTGCAATGATATGATTTTTTTCGCATCATAATTAAAAAAATTTCTGTAATGCCTGATATGTGTTACAATTTTGTTTTTATTCTCTTCACAGAAAGTTCGGAAGATGATTTCTGACCAGAAATCAGATATTGTAATTGTAGATGTGGATAATAACAAAATAGAGACTCCATTTGAAGACTTAGAATCCCTACCTTCTGAAATTGTAAGTGAGAAATGCGCCCTCACAGGCAGTAGTTCAAAATGTGGACATGGTGTGGATCAGGTGACAAGTGCAAAACCACAAATTTGTTTGTAGAGTCCTAGGGAGTCACAGTGACTTTTACTGGGGTCTTAGGAAGTCACTGATTTTTACTGGGGTCCTAGGGAGTCACTGTGACATTTACTTGGATCCTAAGGAGTCACAGTTCATTTTACTCAGGTTCTAGAGAGTCGCCTACTTTTACTTGGGTTCTAGGGAGTCACTGCGACCTTTACTGAGGTCCTAGGGAGTCACAGTGGTTTTTACTTGAGTCCTAGAAAGTTATATACTCTTTGACTGGGGTCATGGATGGTCGCAGAGGCTTGCAATGTGACTTTCACAACATTTTTTTTTTCTCTCAAATCCCTTTAGATTATCAAATTGCAAAAAAATTATAGAAAATGAAATTAAATAGTAACCAGTATTTTCTGTGTGCTTGGTATACACACATTCAAGTCCCAAGACAAACTTTAACAAATACATTGTGTACTCACTAGTAAACAAACAAATAATAGTCATTTTAAGTTGATAAACCATTTCTGGATTTCTATTCACCAATAGTTGGTGCCAGTGCCAGTATCGACTGTGCATACCTCACCACAGACAATAAACTGCATTGCATTTACCACCATCTTTATTAACCTTTTCACCTCCAGACTTTCTGGAAATGAAGCCTAATTTTGGAGCCAATTTTGGGTAAATTTTCAGTTTTTACTCAAAAAAATTTATTTTTGTCCCAAACGTCTGAAGAAAAGTGCAAACTATAAACTACTTTGTGAATTTGTGATGAAAAGAGGTCACTGGAGGTGAATTAGTTAAAGTGACAAAAGCTGTAACTATCGTTCTCTTATATTGGATTTTTATTTTAAATAAAAATTTCTTGTGCCATTAGCATCTATTTGTAATGACCATTAATGAAATAAATACACTATATATTGACATTAAAAATTAAATTAAAAAAGTTGGCCACAGGACTGCATCTACGTCTATTTCTATTAAATCCAATTTTGTCAAGCAAACGTCAGGTATTATAGTACAATTTACCAAAAGTACTGGTTGGATTGTGTGTCATTTCCCATAATAGTATGCGTCATGCATCAACATTTTCTACGTTCCATGACACGTGGCCCATTTCAACGAAATATTGCCTACTCAACCATTTAGTTTTCACATGTGATGACATTAGCTTTGTGTAGGATCACTTTGCCAGACAATATTCTGGTCCGCTTTATTTGATTATCATTATGTGGTTATATTTAAACCAAAAAAATCACAGCTGTTGTCACTTTAACATTTTTATTTCTGTTGTTTATTTCAGCTGTCTCTTTTAAAACACAGACTAAAAAGAACAGACAAGTTGCTGGGAGAGGGTGTGGCCAGGGCGTTCCTGAAAGCACTCGTACCGCTACTGTCATGCTACAGAAATGCGTTAAAACTTAATCTTGTAAGTATGAGCAGCTATGACTGGGTCAAACTAAGCATATAATTTATTGTGTGTCATTTTATTAGTTGTATTAGAAGTGTGCCAACTTATTGGTATGGTATTGGTACATGTCTTAACATGTAGTGTCTGGCATTGTCATTGTTAACACTTTTCTTGTGCCCACAATTATGCAAGTAATTTTTGTTCTATCTTTCTCAAACTTGGTTATATCATAAACCAGTGCAAAGTCTTAATGATGTTCAATTTTAATGTTTCTTGTGTCTTTATTAGTCCCTGTTTGTACGCAATCTGAAAACAGGGACTTATGCATCTGTGTGTGTGTGTGTGTGTGTGTGTGTGTGTGTGTGTGTGTGTGTGTGTTCGTCTGGAAATGCCTGGACTGATTACATTCAAACTTCACACATACATCATACATACGGTAATACTATATGCTCATCAATTTGTTTTACAATCTGATTAAAGATGGCCATTTTTGTACTGAGAAATGATCAAAAACGTACATTTCTTGGCTGTTCACAGATGGTTTTTGTTCAAACTTGGTACATACATTGGACATTATGGGTTCTTGATGCACATCATTTTGTTTTTCAGATCAGATTCAAAATTTCTTACTAGAGGTCATTTTGTTTTAATGAATGTTGTTCTAGAGCCATATATCCCTTAGATGCTTTGACTTATTATGTTCAAATTTTATATATTCATTATACGACGATCCAATTCAAAATGGCCAACTGGTGGCCATTTTGTTTTAATTAATGATGTTCCAGCGCAATATCTCTCAATATGTGTTGTACTAAGTTACTATGAATAAAACTATATAACTTAGATTTGATAAATAACAGAGTCTGTGTCATGCATGGCTTTGTTTTGATATCAATTGTTAAAATGTGAATTTGAAATTTCTATTGTATGTCGATTTACATTTTCTTATATTTCATTCCATATTTTTTTTTTTTTCATAGGGTGAAAAAATTAGTTTTGATAAAGACCTTTTTGTCCAGTCAACCAAATCAAGTCGCTTTAGGAATGTCTTGGAAAATGTGACGGAGTGTCAGCATTTTGCACAGGTAGGTAAAAATACGGGAAAAAATCAAAACATGTCAAAATCAAGTATACAATTATCTGGTTTACAGAGCAGATCAATATTTTATTCCACATATACCAGCAGTATAAATTCAAGTACTAGATATTGGGTTTGGGAGATTGGTATGCACATGTGCACTTGCAATGAGACATCAGTGACTTCAATATCCGGAAATATTTGAAAAGAAAACAAAAAACATCATTTACATATTATCTAATTTATTTTTATTTATAGTTTATTGCAGGGCGCCTAGATATGCTGAATAGTGGCAAGGGATTTAATGATATTTTTGAATTGGAGTGTGATCTTTATGATAAAGACAAAGGTGATCTTTATTTTCAATTTATTTAAAAGGATACAATCTGCCTAATTTACAACTTTTTAGCTCCGCTGTCGACTTTGTCGAGCGGAGCTTATCATATGAGTGATTGTCCGTCGTTTTACTTTTTCGACTTCTTCTTGAAAACTACAAGCTGAATGCTTTAATACTTGGTGTATATGTACCTTGGGCAGACCTCTCTTAGATTTGTTCATTTCATGTTGCTTTGATTTTACATATATAGGTACTACATGTGGACCTTTACAGATTTGTTCATTTTGTAATGATATCTTTAATTCTCTAATTTTGGTGAATATTTTTGTCATTTTTGGTAAAAAGTGATATTTTCGACTTCTTGTTAAAAACCGCAAGTCGAATTGCTTTGATACTACATATATAGGTACTACATGTGGACCTCTCTCAGATTTGTTCATTTCGTGATGATATCTTCAATTCTCCAATTTTGGTGAATATTTTTGTCATTTTTGGTAAAAAGTGATATTTTCCACTTCTTGTTGAAAACCGCAAGTCTGATTGTTTTGATACTATACATATTGTTCATTTTCTAATGATATCTTCTGTTCTTTAATTGAAATGTGCATTGCTAACAGCGGAGCTATCTCAGCCGAGAGGCTGCTTGTTTTAAACATCACTGGATTTTCCTAAATTAATCCGAAAACTGGTTACGGTATATATTAACAGATTTTCTCTTTTAGATAAATGGAAAAACACTTACACCAAATGGTCAAAACAAAGCTTAACTGCTATGAAGGAATTTGGTCGTAAGGTAAACTTATAAATATGTCATGATTATTAACTAAAAAAGTTGGTATTCTTTCCTGGCTGCCAACCCTCAATTCAGAGATTGGTTATCTATTCCAAGATACTTTTAGAAGTACAAATGTAAATACTAGTATTTGATAAAAAAATTGAGGTACTGGTGATCTTGTTGAAAAAAAAAACATAATGCCAATACATCTTTTAAAACTAGGATCAACATACAATTTGCATTTCTTATTATCTCTCTTGTGTATGAATTCCCAAAACAATCAAAACCACATTTGTTTATTCACTATATCACCATGTGTTTCTATTTCTATGTCCTTTTGTTTCTCTGTCCATTTTCCTCTGCGTTTAGCTTTTGACCACCAGCTCCATTATTGATTTGTTGCGTACATATATAAAATTAGTTTTGTCAATGATTTTAAAGTTGCACTTTGAGAGGAATGTTGGATTCTTTCTTTAGATTACACACGGGAGTTTGTAAGTAGTAATCAGTTTCCTGATTGACATTTCATAATACTGTCATCAAGTATACATTAAATTATGTCTGAAGAACTGTGAGTTTAATCTTACTAGTGGCACTAGTGTAATTTTCTGCTCATTGTAGTCATGGTGAACATATCCCAGGGTGCAATTTTAAAACCATGATCATGACATTTTGTAGCAGTAACTTTAACTGGTGTCCTAGGAAGTCATAGTGACTGTCAGTGTGGTCCTCGTGAGTCATGAATTCTACTGGGAGTCCTAGGGAGTCATAAATTCTACTGGGAGTCCTAGGGAGTCATAAATTCTACTGGGAGTCCTAGGGAGTCATGATTTCTACTGTTGTCCTAGTGAGTCATGAATTCTACTGGGAGTCCTAGGGAGTCATAAATTTTACTGGGAGTCCTAGTGAGTCATGAATTCTACTGGGAGTCCTAGAGAGTCATGAATTCTACTGGGAGTCCTAGGGAGTCATAAATTTTACTGGGAGTCCTAGTGACTCATGAATTCTACTGGGAGTCCTAGAGAGTCATGACTTCTACTGGGAGTCCTAGGGAGTCATAGTAACTGTTGCTGTAGTCCTAGAAAGTCGTGTCTTCACTGGAAGTGCTAGGGGAGTCACAGACTTCCACTGGGGTTCTGGTGGGTCACAGTGACTTTCTTTGGAGGGTTTTTTTGTACATTTCCGGCTAGAGTCATATTGTTATCTGCATATTCGTGTTCATATCATGTATCATTTCACATGCGTGTTCTCACTCTAGGCTAATCCAGTTATGCACAATATATACAAACATGTGAATAAGCAGGTCAACGATGTAAGTTCTCATATTCAATCTAGTGCAACTGCCATTCTGTCTCGATTCTTACTTCCAATTAAATGTCTGTCTATGTTTCCTACTTTTTCTTATACTTTAATTTACAGTGTTTGATATGGATTTCGTGTTTCATATAGAACATGTATAAAGTACATACTGTAAAATGACTAATTTTCACTGGGTTTAAATTTCACTGATTTACCATTTCAGGCATATTCAGTGGGTTTTAAATTCACGGTTTCGTCATTTAGATAATGTGTTCTATGCTAAATTTTACATATTCACTGTGTTTTAATTTAGCGCATTTTTCCAGTCAGCGAAATAAGCTAAATTAAAACCCAGTGAATAATTACCCCCTTTACAGTAATATGAATGCCCACTGTGCAACCTCTGTGTTGCCTCAATCTTGTTACTTTGTAAGAAGTGTTCCCCCTGGTGTTTTAAAGTGTTTAACTGCCATACAGCATGTGTCAAATTTTCATGTGAAGATGTTTTTAACATGTGCTGATTATGCTGCTGATATGGAATCCATATCGAACACTGTGCTACTGTACTCATTAACCTTTTTCACCACCAGTTCCCTCTTTTCGTCACAAATTCACAAAATAGTCCCGTTTACAGTTTGCAATTTCCTTCAGAATATTGGGGACAAAAATAGCCAATTTATTTGAGTGAAAAATGAAAATCAATACAAATTTTGTCTGTTGGCTCCAAAATTAGGGTTCATTTTCAGAAATACTGAAGAATATAAGAAAAATGTGCAGAAAAATTTGGTCTGAGAAAGTCTGGTGGTTAAAAGGTTAATTAAGTAGTGATGGTGGGTAGAAGAAGAAAATACAAACCCATCCTGTTGTATGTTTCTAACTTTCTGTTGAGTTAACATAGTTGAGTGGGATGATCCTGCAAGTTGCTGGGGCAAACATTTTTTTTTTACGATAGACAAAATTGTTTGTATGAGGATAGAATAGTGAATAATAGATGATTTTTCGTACAATTGCGAGATCTCGCGAGATGCATGAAAGACGTGCGTCGAACGTCTGCCGCAAAAATCGAACGATTTGATTTTGAACTGGAATTTCCTTATTTCGTAGCTCACACCGACCGGTCGATCTTCGACAGAGGAATATTGCTTCCGAATATCCTTACTTAATCGAAATTGCCTATCATCAAATGTATACAGCACATTATTAAGCATGGAAATGTCCCCCAAAATACTTTCGCGTTTGTTGAATCACCACATTCGCGATGTTTGATGCGACTACGACGCTATGACCTTTGTTTGTCCTGTTTTTACGTTCGATTTCACGCATAACGCGTGATTCTCGCAGTGAACAGAAAATGGTCTATTTAATGTAGATTTCATAACACTACATAGACTGTGATGGTTTAGCCATATGCATGCAATATTTGAAAATACTTTTAATATAAATGTCTTGCTTCCCCTTTCGTATACCTTCTATCCTGTGTAAACGTACCATGGCTACATGTATATCTGTGCGTGCCTGGCATATGACTCTCTGCTGTGTTGCTAATGTTTGTTTCATTGTTCGTAAAGTTTCTCTTTGTCATTTGCTCATATAAACAAAACTCCTAATTTTGGTTGGTAAATCTCATTCTATATAACCGAACATCTGATTCTGTAAATTGAACACCTCATGTAAAACTGAACACCTCAAGTCATTCTGTAAATTGAACACCTCATGTAAAACTGAACACCTCAAGTCATTCTGTAAATTGAACACCTCATGTAAAACTGAACACCTCAAGTCATTCTGTAAATTGAACACCTCATGTAAAACTGAACACCTCAAGTCATTCTGTAAATTGAACACCTCATGTAAAACTGAACACCTCAAGTCATTCTGTAAATTGAACACCTCATGTAAAACTGAACACCTCAAGTCATTCTGTAAATTGAACACCTCATGTAAAACTGAACACCTCAAGTCATTCTGTAAATTGAACACCTCATGTAAAACTGAACACCTCAAGTCATTCTGTAAATTGAACACCTCATGTAAAACTGAACACCTCAAGTCATTCTGTAAATTGAACACCTCATGTAAAACTGAACACCTCAAGTCATTCTGTAAATTGAACACCTCATGTAAAACTGAACACCTCAAGTCATTCTGTAAACTGAACATTTCACTCTGTAAAACCACACAAGTCAATCTGTAAACTGAACATCTCACTCTGTAAAACCACACAAGTCATTCTGTAAACTGAAAACTGCATTCTGTAAAACCACACAAGTCATTCTGTAAACTGAACATCTCACTCTGTAAAACCACACAAGTCATTCTGTAAACTGAAAACTGCATTCTGTAAAACCACACAAGTCATTCTGTAAACTGAAAACTGCATTCTGTAAAACCACACAAGTCATTCTGTAAACTGAACATCTCACTCTGTAAAACCACACAGTCATTCTGTAAACTGAAAACTGCATTCTGTAAAACACACAAGTCATTCTGTAAACTGACACTGC